CCCCCCCCGCCGCCAAAGAGAGCCCTCCAGCCTCCTCCGCCCGGGAACTGCCCAGCCAAGGAGCAGCTACTGCAGCTTCTAGGGAGAGTCCAGGCTCAGTATGACCTAGAACCTACCCACTTGTTTTCATGGCAATCCACCGTGCCCATAAAAATCCCCTCCAACAGCACATTTTCTTCCCGTCAGCTTTCTTCGTTGTCCAACTTTCACACCCCTACATAGTAACGGGAAATACTGTGGCATGAATTCACTTGATCTTGGTCGCCAGCAACACATCCTTCCACTTAAGAATGTTTTCTAGTTCTTTCATGGCTGCCCTTTCCAGTCTCCGTCTCCTCCTGATTTCTTAGTTGCAGTCTCCCTTTTGGTTGATGATGGAGCCAAGGAACAGAAAATCTCGAACAATTTCACTTTCTTCATTGCCAGCCTTAAAGTCTTGCAGTTCCCCAGCAGTCATTACTTTTCTTGATGTTCAGCTGTAACTTTCTGCCTTTGCCTTCATCAGGAGTTGTTACAATTCTTCACTGTTTTCTGACAGTACTGTGGTGTCATGTACAGTTTGTGTACCTTCCACTAATTTTCACTCCACCTTCATCTACATCTAATCCAGTTTTTCTTATCATATGTTCTGCATATAGATTGGAGAGATAAAATACATCCTTGTCTCACACCTTTGCCAACTGGATACCAATCTGTTTCTCCATATTCTATCCTAACGGTGGTCTCTTATCCAGAGTACAGGTTGCACATCGAAACTATCGTTTCTTTTAAAACCAAACATAGCTTTTTATGATCCACACAGTCAAAAGCTTTGCTGTCATCTATGGGACACATGGTGATTTCCTTAGCCAAGGATGAGTCTTTCAACAATCATTGTGGCTGTGAAATAGCCACGCTGAGCAGCTGAACTGCCAAGCCAGGACGAGGAAGGCTTTCCCTGTTCCTTTGTTGCTGTTCAGTCGCACAGTCGAGTCCGACTCTTCGCGACCCCATGGACCAGATCCCGCCAGGCCCTCCTGTCTTCCGCCGTCCTCCGGAGTTTGCTCAATTTCATGTTCGTTGCACTGATGACACTGTCTAACCATCTCATCCTTTGCCGTCCCCGTCTTCTTTGACCTTCAATCTTTCCCAGCATCAGGGTCTTCTTCTCCAGCGAGTGCTCCCTTCTCATTGGGTGGCCAAAGTATTTGAGCTTCAGTTTCATTCTCTGGCCTTCCAGGGAACAGTCAGGGTTGATTTCTTTGAGGATTGACTGATTTGATCCGTTCTCCCTGTTCCTTACGGGAGCCGAAAGTGGCTGCTGGCCATTCTTCTGGAGCCGTTGAAGGCACCCGAAACACAAGGAGAGCTTTTTTGGGGGTGGGCAGCCGGGCACTGCAGGTGATGCCGCTGGGGGATGCATTTAAAATATTTATATCCCACTTCTCCAAAGCAAGACACCGTTGGAACAGGTTCAGCA